TGCTTGTAATAAATATTTTATATTGTACTTACATAAATGATATAAAAACCACATTGTCAGAAACATAAATGATTATTGAACTTACTAATTGCTATTTTTACATTAGAAAAAGTGGTTTTAGTAGATTATGGTGTTGATTTATCAAGTCCGCACGGAAGGGTAAACACGATAACTTTTGAAAATATAATTTTTTCGACTCATTCTATTTTTTAATCTCTTCATCTAATAAATTGGAAGCCATGGAATGTAAATGGCTGTTTTATTTTTTTTTTCGGCTAGGAGATCCCGAAATTTTCGGTCTTTTGAGCAGTCATATTATGTAATAATTTATTTCTAAATAGAGCTAAAAGACAGCTAATACAATACTAAATTGTCACATAGCCTGCTAACATCGGTAATACCTAATGCTCCTCATGATTTACTTGAAACGCAAGAGGGCGTTGAAATCGTATTATCATTGTCAAAGTGTCATCAAAGATTGAACGAAGTTTAAAATTGAATTGTAAATAAAATTATTTTCTTATAATTTATTTTTTAATTAAGTCATTGGTATAATTGTCTTTTCTTTTAGTTTACAGTAGATAATTATGTTCTTTATTCGTTCGCTGCCACACGTAATAGCGTTCAACTCGTTTAATAATAATATTTGTGATAATAATAATTTCTTTGTCCCAATTTACTTTTTGACTTACCATAATTATGAACAAAAAATGTTTTATAAAAACGGACGTTTTAAACATTACGATTTAGCTTTACAATTAAAACTTTTTCCACAACTAAATAAAATAGATGTATAATCATGCTTCTTGAGGTAATGACTAGATGAAAAACTTTTTGAAAACGAAATAAAGTTGATGAGATTTTTTTTTATTAAAAAGTCAGGTAAAATAACTATTTTTTTAATTGACGTTGGACATAAAATTATCGAAAAATTAGAAATATAGTAATAAGTTGTGTGTATATAAACAACTTTAAAAATTTACGCATAACATGAGCCCTTGCACATTTGGATTTACCAAACTTTTTATATTTTGCACTCTGGGCGGAGCTATTCTGAACGTTGTAGTATTCTATACTCCGTGGCATAAGGATACATCTTGCATGTATAGGTGACGAGTGAGTACCTATGTTTGTGATTACGCGTACAATTGTGCACTGTAGTTACACACTGGCACTGTGGCAATCGTGGTCAATCAGTTAAGAACACATTATTTGTGTACAAATATCTTTTTTATATAAGAAAAAATCTTTATTAACGGCAAACATTTAAATATGTAAAAACTTCAAAATCTTTTAAACTAATTGTTAGATTAATCACATAAATAGTTTACGTATCACAAAGTGGGGCCAATCTAGATTTAGTACAGTAGTCAGTAACAATTAGACGTAGTAATATTTTCACACAAACATTAAAAACATTATTATTTAGTTCCTAGTTTAATATATAACTACAAGTAACATTGAAAATCGTAAACAGTACAGGTAAGGAGGACCATCTCGTTATGGGCTGCGAACTACATTTTTTAATCCAAAATATATTCGGATTTCCACTAATAATTTTGTCTAATCTGTAAGTCTTATTTGAACACTTACGAATTAATTAAAAAAGTAGTTGTTATTATTTCAATCTTTCTGTGCAGATGTTAATATTTTGAAGAAGAAAAAAGGGTCTCTCAAAGCCTTATGTTAATCTTTACCGCTTTCTTTTAATGTTTTGGACATATTTAATTCGAGGGGTAGAATAATTGTATAGTAAGATTGTAATTTTTACCTCTACTTTCTATATTATAGTATTCTAAGCACGTAAAGAGCAGAACCACCTAATACAAGCATTTTTACGTTTCCTGCGTGGTTCTGGTCACGGCATAATACTGTTACTAAATAATGACAAGGAAATAAAATATTTTTCATTTAATTTTTTTTTGTTTAAATAAAAAAACGTAAATACGTCGAACACATATTTTGTTGTGTTAATTTTGATAAAAAATGTAGAATTATTTATATTATAATTTGTATGTAAAAACTAACTATAATATAAGTATAATATAATACAGTAAATGTGATTCGAAACTTTGAATTTTGAAACATGCATTTTAGTTTTCATTTATATGTAGTTTTAAGTGTTGCATTGTTTATAATTTTTTTAACAAATTGTACAAACTTAAAATGGAAATTGCAGAAAGTTACAATTTTAATTATTACAATAGAAACATCAACAGACCTTTATTTATTAAAACACCTATTTGAATGTAGAAGTTATTTGCTACCTACTATGTTTAAAATAAATAAGCACATTTTCGTAAAACCTTTGTTTTATTAATGGTTTATCGTTTTATTATTAACAAATATAAAAAAACATTATTAATATTATTACAAAGTATTAGGTTCAATTATTTCTACCTGTGTTACATTGACAAATCTCTCTTCAGATTCTATCATCTCTTATCACTCACTGATTATCACGAAAAATATTACGTCTGTCCTCTGATGGTAAGTGGATGCTCTGGCTCATAGACATTTACATTTATCCTCGATTATGAATCAAAACGCAGATGCGTTGTCACCCCTGAGGACTAAGATGGAATGCCTGGTTTCCAATAAAAAAGTCTCCGGATCTCTACACTCACCATACGAAACACAGTAGTATTAAGCTGCTATTTTACGCTGGTATTCTATGAGAGCGTGGTCCTTCCCCGGTAGCCGACCCATTCGTGCTACAACCATAATACCACGCCTGAGCCTTTTCTACTTACGTTAAAATCTAGTGTTGGACACAGGTCTCTTCCACTACTTAGCTGCGTAGCTTTGTCTCAAACATTACGCTCGGCAGGAGATCGGAGTAAAAAATGTCTCTTCAAAATAGCTCCTCGTCGCTGATACAGGTATTTTACGTGTGGCGTAAACAAGATGGCGTGTAGTGGCGTATGTTCACTGCCACATATCTTCCCGTGAGTGTCCTAACAGAACGGAGGCAGGGGATGGGCAGCAGTATCTTTCTGAAAACAGCAAAATTATAAAGAACTGTGGTGCAAATGTGTACCTGAGTCTGAGAATTATAACGTACATCGTCATAATTGACTTAGATCGCTCAACTGGTGATCTTTTTGTTTATCTAATACACCGATGGGCGCACGCGATCGAGTCCAAGGGAGACGTTTTGGTAGTTTGGCACTTGGACATAGCGAAGGTTTGGCACAAAGTGCTTCTTTCAAAACTTCCTTCCGATGGGCTTTCCACGAAATTGTGCAATTAGATCACCAGTTTTCTGGCTGATCGGTGCATCAAGGTCATAGAAGAAGATGCATGCTCCGATTACAAGCCCATTAACGCTGGTGTTCCACAAGGCGGCGTGCTATCACCAACGCTGTTTCTTCTGCATATCAATGATATGTTGCAACTGTTTCATTGCAAATTTATTGATATGCGGACGACAGCACTGGTGATGCACCGGCCGTGTCAATATTGCTCGGGTAAACGTCACCGAGTACCGGAACAAGCTTGTATCTGAATTCGTAACATTGTTGAATAAAGTCTCGGATTGGGAGCGACTAAATCTAGTCATAAGTTTGCGCGTCTACCGCTAAAAATAACCCCTTTGTCGTATCTCCTCAGTTTCATTGCACTCTTTTTTTGCCTCTGTCAGTATCGGAATCCTCGGCGTCGACATAACGAATGACGTGGTCACTTGGAAGGGAAGGCCAAACTGGCCTCCAAAATAGCTTAGTGTGCTCAGCAGAGCGGGACAGTTCATGACGGCACGGCACACCGCCCGAAATTTTACAAGGTACAGGTTCGGCCTCACATGGAATACTGTTCCCATTTTTGGGCCGGGGCTCCCCAGTGCCAGCTCCTTCTATTTGACCGCATCCAGCGGAGAGAAATTCGAATCGTCGGCGACCGAGCACTTTCTGATCGCTTTGATTCATTGGCGCCCTGAAGAGATCGTATTTATCACGGGGAGTGCTCAGATGAATTGTTCGGATTAATTCCAGCCGCTGAATTTCACCATCGCACATCACACATCGCTACTGAACTTGAGATACCATTCTTACCACTTTAATGATTAGCGGTCTACTACTGTACGATTTACAAGAAGTTTTTTTCCTCGCACAACTTCTTTATGGGATCGACTGCTACCAGTGATTTTTCCGGAAAGATACGACTTAGGGTCCTTCAAGAAAAGAGCCTACTCTTTTTTAAAAATCTGGCAACGCATCTGCAGTTGCCCTGGTGTTGCAGTTGTTCATGAGCGGTCACTTACCATTAGGTGAGCCGCATGCTCGTTTGCAGGGAGCAGATAAAAAAAATGAATGTGTTTACAGACAAGGAATTTATATACGACTACCTATTACAAGTACGTTAGGGATATAGTATTTCTTTGTAAACAGGAAAATGCCGCCAAATTAGACGTACCGTACAAATAAATAGATAGACTTCATATTTTTCACAATGTCTCACTATAGGCCAAATAAAATACTTTATTAAAGAAATTATCTAAAGTATAATTTTAGCGTTATCATAAACAATTTTCATTGGAAATACTCAACCAAAAAGGAAAGAAAGATAGAGCCCCGCGTAACTACATTACAAGTGGCGCAAAAACCAAGCCAAAACCATGCTCGAGTTATTGTAAGAATATGCACTTACACAAAATATATATTTACCATTATTTGTCACCAACAAAATTGTTTTAAGAGCAAAAAAATTGATTCAATATTCGAACTCTTATGAATTACAGTAAATTCTAGTAATGAAAATGATAACTGTCATTTCCCGCCACAACCCTGTGAGTCTACGACTTTCCCGCGCTTTTTAAGGTCGCCCCCTCAGCGCCATTGGCGGACTGGTACAATTTTCATGGCCTTGACCGAGCGGCAATCATAATCATAAGATCATAACCCACCCGCAGCGCAGTCACCAGTCAGTCCGTAGAACTCGCGGCGATTGCGTGTCGCCCTCCTTTTTTATCGTATCCGCTGTAATCGCGCTAGATTTAAAAAATGGTGAGTCAGCAGTTAATTCTGTTTATAAATCTAAGCAATTTATTCGATAAGCCATAGGTTACGCGGAGTTTTCATTTGAACAATAATTTGATTCACGGTAGTGGCCGCTCAAAAGTACTTTCATGAGATTTTCAGTTCCGACTGGTATTACGTCACTATGTGATAATAATATGAATTATTTAGAGCTCAATTTAACCAGCTAAGAATATTTTTTGTTAGAAACTTTTTTTAAAAGGAGTGTAAATTGTGTTGCGTGCCAAAATGGTATAGTTAATTCATAAATTAAATTAAATGTTTCGACTTAATTTAAAGATCAGCCTTATTACCTGTTTGAAAGATCTTGGATTTTGTTAATAATTGTATATATTTTCTTTTAAAGTCGATACAATCTTACAATAAAAATTAAATAACTGTAAAACAAAGAATTTAATTTTATTTTAAAAAATAGTGTTGTACGTTGTAAAATTGAAATAGTAAAGGTAGTTTTTTTAATAGTAAATATACCTAAGTTAGCAATCATTCGTATATTTTGTATTTTACAATTTGTGGTTAGTAGTTGTAAGCCACTCAATTAAACACATTTCCCTTTTTCCTACAAAAGGAACGTGTAGTATTACATATAAATGATTTTTATTATGATGTCAAATGAAATTAATTTATTTAGATATTTTCAATTAAGCAACAGTTTAAGTATAATATGATTCTAGTATTACTTACAATACTGTCAGGCGTACTGCAATATATTAGTATCTATTTTTAAATCGTATTTATTTTCGTAGTTGCGATAAGAGAATAATCGCCGTTGAGTGCTATTGATAAGAGCCTTTAATATCGCATTAGCATATGATCATCATGAGCAACTTTATCTGCAAATGTTCTTTTTAACATACTAAGATATCAAAAATGTTCTCACTTAATACTTTCAATGTAAACTTAACAGTATTCTTTAAAATAATTAACTTTCAATAAAATTACCTTTACTCATTTTATCGCATTAAATCTTCCCGTGGTTATGAGTGCTAGAAAGCACTCGTAACCTCATGAATTAAAACAATTCAAATTAGACGCTTAAAAAAAACTTGCAACATTTTTTTTAAAGTGAAGGGTACAGTGTTACAGTCCACCTGATGGTGAGTGGCTACTGCAGTCTATGGTGTATTGAATCCACTCCTGCAGCTAACTTCAAATAAAGATTCAACTTCTACGGATGCGCAGTCACCTTTGAGGACTAAGATGGAATGCCTTGCAGTCTCTAATTATACTGACTCTCTCTACACAACATGAGTTCCTTACTCATGTGTGTTATGGTTGTTATAAAAACAGAAAAATCAAATACGATATTCTAGGGTGAAATATCGATTCAATATATCGATGCAGTACTATATATCGATTTAAAAATCGATATTTTTGGTACAAGAAATCGATTCTTCGATTAATCAATCTTAGATCTCCGTGCCTACTTCATTTACCAACATTGAATCATCTATGGGTTTCACATTGCCGATTTTAATTTCGATAACAAGGTTTTAAAATTATCAAACTTTATTTACACGCTGAGATCATAATATACTTTCCAATAATCTATGCTTACACTGTAGATTGTTCTCCTATATCGTTCAGGCATTCTACATACAAAATTTGCACATACACAAAGATCTATAACAATAACTTATAGGCTTAACTAACAAACAGGTCTTAGAAAACGCCTCTTTAAAACTTATTACATAAAATTTTAATAAAAGGGACTAATTAATTTAATATTTTAAAACAATTGCGTAAAGAAATAATCGAGAAAACTTAGTATACTACCAAACCCGACAACACTTTTACATCTACCCGCAAAGAAACAAGTAGTGCGTAGTGTGTAGTGCGGTATACGAATTACGGACGTACAGTACATATTCGCCTTCCTTCTTTAACGACGCGTAAAATTTCACTGCTGGATGTGGGCTTCTATCAGTTTTTTTTATAGAAGAGGGGGCAAACAAGCATGCGGCTCACCTAAATACAACGTGTTATGAGACCTACAGTAGGACTTGCCTTCGTCACGATTAGCTGGCATATTTAATGATCGTCGTGCTCTCGCGTGCGCCTCGCACCTTTGACGCTGTTACGGCTGACGTAAACAAGATAGTTGTACCGCCATCTATCGGAAGTCTACGTGGTAGAGCCACGCTGTTGCTATATTATGGTTGTAGCACGATTGGGTCTGCTCGACCGGGGTAGGACCACGCTCTCACAGAATACCAGCGTAAAATAGCAGCTTAATGTGACAGTGTTTCGTATGGTGAGTGTAGAGAACCGGAGACCCTTTTTATTAGAAACAAGGCATTCCATCTTAGTCTTCAGGGGTGAAAACGTACCTGCATTCATAATGTGGTTGTCTATGGGCTACAGCATCCGCCTGCCATCGGGTGGACTGTGAGCTCGTCTGTCACCATTATTCTATAAAAAAGGTCATGAAATTTTACTAGAATTTCCCATAGTCGGCTTTTACGACATCCACGGGACGAGATTGGGCAATTTTCTTATCGCCATAATACTGCCAACACATACATAGCAGTCAAAAAATATATCCCTGCTTTGGATATGCTGCGACAAAAAAAAATATAATGTTCACGTATATTGCAAGAAAGAATTAAACAGACCGTTTTACGTCAGATACCTGTATAAAATGAAATATTTCTCCAAAACACTCCAGTAAGAAGCTGCTCTCGACCCGAGCTCACGTGTTCATAACCTTGCATCTTGGCACGAAACTAAATCTACACCAATTTTGTTATTCGTCCAACAACGATCCCAACCTTCAGTACCCACCTAGTACGATTAAATGAGAAAGTGCGGTTTTGACGAAAACTTCGTGAAATGTAAATTGTTGTATATTTTCGTGTTAATATTCGCTGTGTTTGAGTTTAGAAGCTTTCGTCGGCAAACGACTGTAAAGGTGATTGTTTTGAATACTTTGTACACTCACAGATTAATCTAACCTTCTCGTGACGTATTTCACTTTATGTTTTTATAAGTATAGAAATTATACAGGTTGTTTACAAAGTTAAATATCGGTATTTTTGACAACCCATGAAGTGTTTTTTGTATTTCTTTTTCACCGACCCGTAAAAGTTGAATATGAGCTTTTCCCGTTGTATGTAGCATTAGCATTAATCTTCACGCTTCTGAGGACTGAGAACTGCAGCACCAGACATCCGCGTTGACTCCGCTGCTCGACGCCAGTCTGTGTATGTTACGTCTCATCATCATCATCATTACAGCCCTTCACAACTCCACTGATTAACATATGCCTCCCCAAAGAAATGCAACAAAGCACGGTCCTGAGCTACCTGCTTCCATCGACTTCCTACATGTCTTACCTAGTCGTCACAAAATATGTAAATACCATTTATCTAAAGCCTGGATTTAAAAGAGATCTTATTTCAATAGCCTGTGATAGAAAGCAATAAAATTTATCTGATATTTTCTACGATTCACACCTGAGGACTAAGTTCGAATGCTTTGTTTCCATTAAAAAGCCTCTCCGGTTCCCTACTCTCGCCATACAACACAACACTGTACCATTAAGCTACTATGTTATGATGTTATTCTGTGAGACTCGCTCTCCTACAAACATCCTACCCCAGTAGAACCGATGTCGAGTTTCAAAACTATTAGTATAAATGTACCTACAACATGAGTAAAGACGACTTTACTAAATGTGGTAGGTACATTACAAAATTACATATTGCTTAATTTAAAATGCTTTCAGAAATATCATTGTTGGTTTTGTGTTCAATTCGAATTTTTGCAAATGTGCGAACAGCACAAAATTTTACTACTTTTATTATGCGTATTTAAAAGTGCTTAGTAGGTAGAATAATTGAATGGTAGTTCTTAACATTTCATTCATCAGTATTGTATCGAATAAGTTACAACCTCGACTGCCTTACTACAAATACCTATAATGACAACCGCGTACGTTACTGGTAGGCGGTTGTCATATAGTAGTATTATGCCGCTCTCTTACGCTGGTTTTTTGTGACAGCCGACCCATTCCTGCTGCAGCCATATTACATCTGTAGCCTGTAGATATGATAGACTACAAATTAAAAAATTACATTTGAATTAAAAAAGAATCTCAATTTAAATACAGACGATGGCTGGGTTACCATCAGCTTAGGAAGTCATAAATAATAAAATTAAATTTTATTAACATAGGCTTTCTATACCCTTTAGACCGGAACGGCAGAATTAGGTAGCAGACCATCTTCTTTACCTGCCCAAACGGACTCCTAGGCAGAAAAATTCGAACACCAAGTAATATATACTAGGTATCGTATCATACCATGTGGTGGTATGTATATCTTATATATATATATATATATATATATATATATATATATATATATATATATATATATATATATACCTAGTATATATTAGCTTGGCGGCAGAAATATTGTATTTTATCCTACCAAGACGGAACTCCTAGAACCCCACCAACCAGTAAATCTTATCAACAGACTTTAAAACTGTACTGCTTTTTTTTATATTTTTTATTAATTTATAATATTTTTTTTGAAAATATTTTTTTTTTTAAAAAAAAAAAAAAAAAAAAACAGAAAAAAAAAAAAATAATATTATATATATAGTACATAAATCGTTTCTAAATAGATTATTGCTAATAAAAAAATTGGCAGGTAGTACTAATTCTTTATCAACTCATAGCATGAGTTATAGAACTAGAAGAGTTATACAACTCATAGCAGTTCACTGCCGGACTTTGGCCTCTTCCTTTGTCACAAATTATTTCCCGGTCGTAGTTTTAGATATATCTCGCACCTTTGATTCCGCTGCTCATCACCAGAATAGGTATAAAAGTATTACTATACAAGTTTGTAAAATCGCTATCTATCGGAGAGTAATAGACCAAAGGAACCACAAATTACATGCTTCTGAAGTCCTGAGCAACATGCATGAGCATCCTGAGCAACTCTAGTCTAGTGGGG